AGTTTTGACTCGTGAACGGGGACACGGGCTGAGAAAAAAAGTTCAGAGCATCGGCTCAATACTTTCTAGGTCATAACGATTACGAATCTGTAAGAACTACCACACAGTGAAAAATACATAAACGGCCTGAATACGTGAAAAAAGTAGCTTGTATTTGACTCTATTGTAAATTCGCAGCTCAACAAGATGTAACACCACAATTATTTTTTACGTATTACTATTTAATTACACGACCATCATAATAAGAGAAGCTAGGACTAGATAAAGAGATAGAAGAACCAGTCGGTATTGTAGAGGTAGCATTAATTGAGTGGAATTGACACTAATTCGGCCAGTCACCCGCACTCTAATATGATGCACAGTATAACGAGTTGAACCTCTCTCCCTTTCTTGAATGTAATTTATTATATCATCAAGCAAATATTCTCGACTCGGATCTCAACATTTGAAATATCTATTAAAGCGAATTTTTCTTATAAAATTTAATTTATTTTATCTACAATTAATTTATTTATTTATTGATCATCCACAACTTGCTCTCATTTTTAACATATTTGATTATTTAATTTATGTATTTGGGACTGCGGAATACAACCCCATATGACCCCACAGCAGATATAGAAGCAGACTCTGATACGGAAATGGAAGGAAATAGTATATTGATACATCACACATTAATAGACATTTATGGCCCTCAAGAAGACATTTAAATTTAAAATCATTTACATCGATTGCAATTTTGACAATTATCCAAGTGACAGAATTTATTTTATTATTTCCAAAAATTATTATGATTCGCATTTTCCTAAAAACGATCAAATTACGCAGTGGGTTTATCAATTAAATTAATCAAATAAATTTACAAGTGCCATTCTTACGTAGAGTTTTCAAGCGTTACAAAAGGTATACGTCCTAGTCACCTCATCATGAGCATAATCGAATAATAAATTGCTGTTTTGTTACATTAATGGATATAATCGCATAAGGCTCTTATTCAGAAATATGTCAAAGTTTATAACGCGATTATTTTAACTGATTTGAAATGAATAATTTATCGCTTAAGCGAATTATCCAAAAAGATTCAATATGGTGTATAGCGATACAATTAAGATATAAATGCAAGTATATAATTTCATAACTGATTGCTGTGTAAGAGAATTCGACGCTCCATAAGTGCTGAGAAATTTGTCATTAATTTGAAATAAAATCGTTGCCTTACACTAGTATAAATTAAACTTTATATTGCAATAGTGAAACGATTTTTAGAATTTTCTTCGTCCAATATTCGCCATGTTAGTCATTTGGAGGCTGATAAATGTTCAAAAAAACTTTTTTCTATTGCTCTATAAGGTTAAAGAATAAGGAATATTTCCGACTTCATCATTTGTATAAAAGAAAAATCAAATGTTTATTTCAAATGTTAAATCTTCATTCGAGTAGACTTTTTCCAGCAACAGTGAATAAAGAAAGCGATAAATCTATTTATAAAACCATTTAAGACGCTAATTGAAAAATTAGTCATTTTCACAAATACTCTAGTCGAAAAATAATCGATGAATTGAAACTTCAGACATTAAGTACATTGCATCAATAATTTTCCAAAAGTAATGAGTAAACAATGCACCGTTCACAAGAGAAAAACTGGAAAGACAGTCGAGTGCAATTAACAGTGAGCAGTGGCTGACTAGCTTCTAGGGACGCTACAAAGTTTGATTGATATTTATGATATACGGTATAGAGTGCATGAAGAACCTGAGATTTACACGTCAATAAGAGCCCTCGGAGAAATAAGTAAGGATAAAGAAGAAGGTTTACGAGATCGAGTAAACTTGATAGTAAGTATAAATTCTTTATTAAACTTGATCGTTTCGATACCCACATTTTTGATTCATCGATAATTTTCTGCAGAGAATTTTGAAAAATACTAATCAATCTACTGTACAAAAAAAATTTTTAAATAAATGATACATTTTTTGTTACAAATTTTCTGTATGGAATCACAGTTCTCGTTTTTATATTTGTAATTGCGACGAAAACAAAATTTAAACAAAAAGAATTTTACCTTCAACAATAATTAATCAGTATACAATTACGTAAATATACAATTTTTATATCTTAATTTTTTCCTACGTAAAATAAAATATAAACCACATGTAATATGATAAAAAATTTTTTTTTTGTATAATAATGTGAATACAGGTTTATGACAAAGTGTCAAGTATTTGTAAGAAAAAGCAGTTTCATTTTTACTACTGATTTTTACCCACATTGCATATAAATCGTTGATTTCTTTATTTTTTATGTTGAAACTAATTGCCAGGCTTTTAGTTCGTATGCCATTCAACGACTATACGTGTTTATGCTCAGTTTTCAATTTTACAATTCCATTTAAGTGACTTCTTCAAAACAAAACAGAGGGTTTCAAGATCGCGGTACATCGACTCTTGATAGTAGAGTCATCAATGTGTGCTCGTTAGAAGGTCGCTGCATTGTTACAGAATTGAAATAACCTTTTTCAGTTTGTGTGAATGAACTTTCAATAACAAGTCTGTAAGTGTGACTAACGAAAAGTTAATAGATACTAATGAGTGTGTAAGGTATATTTTTATACATGTAGAGTAATCTTTGAAATTTGTCCAAAGCTTCAATGCATTAAAAATCACAAGAATGATTACAATTTGTCAACTCATTTCATCGTATTCATTTAAAAAATTATTACCCAAACGGGCCAGAAGTCAGTTAATAGCGTTAAAATATTTAATATTCACACTGTATGTGTGAGGAACTAAACACTTGCGTCTATAAAATTAAAAGCACTGAAGTTTCAGGTTTTTCTTTTTTTGAACGTATGAATATTCTTTTCTTTTCTTTACTTTCACAAAATCAAAGCATTTACATAAAATATTAAATATCTTAAATAAGTACGAAACCTAACTATAATTACATATTAATTCTTGGGACAAAAATGGAATTGGAAAAATTCAGTCATTTATTTATCAAAGTATTCGGGAAAATATAATCTGTGTCCTTTAATCAATAGAACAGCAATAGCACAAATAGATTACAGCTAATCACTGTTGCCACTGGACCAATCAAAGCCCTCGTAACGGTCAAAAGAATACGGCACCAATTTTCAAACATTGAATAAGCATCCCTCCCTCGACAAACATTAGCCTTTACATCGAAACGATCTAAACTTCAGTGCGAATTTATATCTATGGCATTCTGCTGAACAAGCATAGCGGGGCTACAGTAAAGGTTGCGCCTGAGCGACATTCAATGCACGTTTACTCAAGAATGTTAGAATACCTTTCAATCCCATGCTTATAATAATGATAAAAAATGTGGGAGTATTTCTCTTTTTGTTATAGTAATATGTTTTTCCCCAATGGTTTACTTTCTGCGTGTCGATGCGGTAAACTAATTTTTGGACCCGTTAAAGATCTCAAAAAGTCAAAGGGCAGACAGCTCTCAAGTTTGCCAGATAAGATGAGGCCTACTTTCCACCACATATTTACAAATATTTATACACTTTTTAGAATTTATTACACTCACTTTAGTTCAGGTAGCTTCAGAAATAAAAATAAAAAAATTTAATTAGTTTTGTTGGACTCTTTTTTTACTCCTCGAGTATAAGCATAAAACAAATAGAAAAGTATCAATTATTTTTTCGGTGCGTTTTTATATTACACAGCTTATATTCGATTCATGTATATATACATTTACTGTTTGACATTTATCTTCAATACGTTTCAGAACTATACTATTATCAGTAAGATTCATCTATAGTTCTGCCTGCATCGAAGTCATATAACGTCTCGGCATGCTAGCCATAATATCAATACGAGCAAGTACGCGATGTATTTACACTTCCTCATTTTCTCCATTTCCTTCCCCTTTATCATCATGGAACAGTTTGTCGCTCGTTTAGATTAAGATTTGTTATAAGTTTAAGTGCGCCGTGCGTGCGATATCTGATCAAAATCTCAACAAGATGCGAAAAATATATGGTTTTAATTTTAATGAAAAAATTTAAAGTCATATGAAGGATGATCACAGTAAATTGTTTATTTTATAGTAATACGTAAAAGATCTACAAAAATATTCTTAAAAGTAAATATGATAGATTTAGTAGTTGTTCTAATGACTTTTATTCTATTTATGAAATTGTCTTTTATATCATGTTAGAACTTGACATGGTGTACATTGTAACACATTACCTATGCAACAATTAAATGAATAAATATAACCTTTTTTATTGATCTATCCTAATCCAATGAAAACAAGCAAGAACGTACACTAATATGGTCCAGTATTTAAGATTTAAAAAATAACACATATTAAGTGGTGCAGGTCAATATGTATTTAAGAACTCGCTTTAGTGCAACCTACACCGGTATCGATTATTAAATGTATAGCTCGTTCCACTATAATTCTGCAAATAATTGTCTTACGTGATACTTTTTTGACAATAACCAGTACAAAGGATTATGTTGTCGACTGTTTGATTAGTTCAAAGGAATTGTAAAAATTATATTTATGCGAATGTTGACCATATATAAGAATAATAGTGTACGATGAGCATCTCAATCATTCATAAGTTGAAGATGCCGACACTTTATGAACTACTTCACGATATTACGGGTTTAATAGCCCAATTGACTTATCGTTACGATTTTCAAAGATCTTTTATCTCATGATTGGTTATTCAAATGATATTGAATTTCGATAATTTGAAGATTTTTTTCTTTATCTTAATTTTTCAATTACAAATATGTATATTAGTTAGGGAATAAACTATCTATATCTATGTAAACACCCAATCTTTTATCATGACCGACAAATTTGATATTTCACTATGATGTAAATCAATTATATTGATTACACGTGAATGTATGGATTACAAGTAAAGAAATAAAATTTTGTTACAAAAAATTGCTTATAGAAATTTTCACTAAGCATGCACAATTATAAAAATTATACCGGTAAAGGAGACTCACCGGCCGCAAGCTCCACTGCAAGCTCAATCTGCCGCGGCGTCGCAAATGCCTGCGGTATCCTTCTCGATCCTATATTACTTGTTGTCACTTTGTCAGGTAACTCAACGTAAATTTTTAACTTCCATCGTGAACGCGGTCACGCGATAAAAGACAAAACTTCAAAATATCACTCGTCGAGTGCACAAGAACTATTGGGCACAATTATTTTCACACGCGAAAGAACTTGAGCCTCAATATGCGGCAACGACAACTACACTGTGATGTCACAAAAACTTACACACAAACACGCGCTACAGTCGATCGCCGCGCAACTTGCAGTACATCTAGTGGTAGCCGAACTGAAGTACAAAGCCTGGCGATCATTTCTGCGCCGGCTCGTCGTCAAGGCGACGATGTTCGGCAGGGCCACATGCGCGCGCGCAACAGCGGCGATCATCGATCGCGGCGCGCGTGCACACATACGCACACACATACACACACACACACACACACACACATATCTTTAAACATACATACGCACGCATTTATATGTATACATATATGTCTCTATGCATCGGAGCTTTTCGAAGCAGCGACAAAGTGGTGCTCTCTGTTTTATCAGAGTGTGGCAAAGAGCTTGCGTATAGTTGCGCGAGCTGCAACGTCGCCCTGTACTTGAACGAACGTCAGACGCGTGAGACTGAAGTGCAACGCTCTCGACTGCTCGCATGATGATTTTTTCATTCTTACGACATTTCAAGGATGATGGTGTGAGAAGACTTGGTCTCCCTTGGGCCACGAGAGTTCACCATATTATGAGGGTTATATTCATAATCATTGACTATGTTGCTACATTTTTTTATAAACTATCTCTTTTTAGTGCGCTTGACACGCTTTGCAATAATTTTTTAAACTTTTAATATCTTCGCGAAAAAATATTATTCATAGAAAAATAATTTATTTATATGAAACGAATCGATAATATGATTTTTTCAAAAGTGTATTAATAACTTAATGTTATTTCATTTTCATTGGTTTAAATGTTTGTAATACGATTTTTACATATATGACTTAATTTGATATGTAAAATTACTACTGAAAGATTAATTATTAAGAAAACTTTAAGTTAGTAACATGGAGTCCAGGGTCATAGGTATAGACGAAGCATTTCAATTCAGCTTTAATTATATCAAATTCTATTGCAAAATACTTAAATATTTTCTATAATCTACAATTTTACGTTTCAATTGAAATATTTTAATTTATTGTCTAATATAAAAACAATAATTGATGATGGTAAAATCAGTTGAAAATTTGTAAAAAATAATACGTTCTATCAAGTTCGAAGTTATAAGTAATTTCTGGTTAAATCCCTCTACATTCTTGTTTAATCGTATAATTAACGTTTAATATGTAATATAATTGATATCGACAGATTTTTTAATGAAGAAGTAAAAGTTATTTAATACTCAATCGAATCATAGGGAACTATTTCTTACATCAACAAGTAATCAGAAAACGATTACAGATTCCACAGAAAACTAATTATACGCGTACGTGACGAGTTCAAGTCGAGCAGTCATCCACACGGAAATGTAGGAAATTAATCGAATATATATACGGAGTAGTACATACGCGAACATAGAAATACAGCTCAAAACCGGATCTTACGTGATTCTTGCACAGATTACACTAATGCATCTGTCAAATTTGACTTGAGATTATATGAGGTCTTTGAAGGTGTTAGGCTCACAGCTTACAACTTGCGTGTTTATAGGTAAGTGTTATTTTACGGAAGAGAGTTTACTTGAATGTTTGCAAAATGACATACTACTTATCACGACAAACCGGTCGAAATTCCAGCACGCACGTATTTGAAATTACCTTCTGCATCGAGAAAAATTATGCCAAAGTCTGACAAGTAGTTATATCATAAGTGGAAGTTCGCACACATTTTGACAACTACACAAGTCTTTCGTAACCAAAACACTGCAAAAGAAAAACTTACGGAAATGGATGTGCTTTATCGTAAAAAGCTTCTTCTAACAAAAATTATGAAATTTTGAGCTATTTTAGAATTACGCTTATTTAAATTTTAAAATGAAAAGTGAAAACGATACTATTAGTATTTTTAACTACGTGTTGCACCTTAATCATTGCTACCCGTGCAACACTGGTGTATAGCAGGCACATGCCAATCAGGCGTAGTAGAATCACTAAAAAAACGTTGTATTGTAAATTAGAAATGTTTGGTTCAACAGAAACAATTAAACCTCAAAATCAAACTCTTAAAAATGTTTATTTGTTAATATAATTTATTCAAAAGAATGACTCAAAGTACGAAAATTTTGAAATAAAACAAAACATGATAATTGTTTATGAAGTTTTATCATTTATGCGACAACAACTTGTAAATTCATTTTCTTTGTTATATTTCATACTTTTACAACAGAACATATTTTAACAATTAACATGCAGGTTGACAACAGCAAACGCTACATTGAAAGTCAATAAAGTATTATAATAAAAAAAACAATCAACGACTCTAAACAATAATTATTTATAGTAAACTATAAAATAAACTTACAATATAACTCTAACAATCAACAATCACAATGGGGTTGACAATCTATGCTTATATTTTCCCCGTACATTTTCGCTTCAAGAATTATTAATTTATAATCCTGCACTACTGCCAAATATTGTTTTTCAATTGAATTTTGCTTCGATTTCAATTTGAAACTTGACATCTTATTTACTTTAATTTTAATACTAGAGTGGTATTTGAAACCGTTGATACCTATTTTATTATTTTATGCATTAGTCAATTTCTAAATAAAAATAAATTGAGCAAAAAAATGTATTGAATATTTACCCTTATACTTATAAATTTGAATTTTTTTCTGGTTTTCCAAAAAAAGGAGTAAACTTTCAGTATCCCCTTCGAAGTTTAACAGCGTAATAAAATTTGGATGGTTTGAGTGTATTATTTGTAATAATCTAGGGGTTTTAAAATTATTACCATAAATCTACAACATAAATAAAAAATATTAGATATTTTAGATCGCAAATGAGAATGTAATAATATAAATATCTTACCGAAACGTAATTATTATTGAAATGTTCATTGCGCACAACTGCCATTGATTTTTTGTACATTCCAACGTTTGAAAACGTAATTTCATTTGTATTAAAATGATTTTTAAATTTTTTGATTTCATTATTTTTTGGAAAAAATTCGTAAATAATATTTTCACTTAAAAAGATAGTGCGATTTTCAATGAAAAAAAATCGCATGTCTTTTTCTTCGGTGACAGTTACAGTTACTCCATCATACATTTTTTGCAAAACACTTTTTATCAACAATTTTTGAACTTTTGCATCAGTTCTTATTAATATACTATCAACTCCAATTTTTGTAATATCCGAAATATTTCCAAGATGTACCATATGCTGTTAAAAAATTTAAGCTACAGTGAATACATTTTTTTTTTAATTTTTTTTTTTTCAAAAAAAAAAGTGAAAGATAATTAGGATTTTTCTGAACTAAGAAACTAAAAGATAATGTGTCCTAGTTTATTTTGTAATTATTAATGGCAACATTTCTACAATAACTAGCAGTCCTCTGCCAACTAGTCTTCTACGAACTAATTATCGAAATAAATAAACTCGAAAACGAACTCTTGGGATCTCAGTCCACGAAAATCCTTATTATATTTCTACATAAATTATCAATAAGTGAAATCTCAGCTAAAAATATAACAAAAGGTAATTTAATTGATTATCGAAGGTTATCTCCGTATTCACCAATTGTCATAAATATTAATTGACATGGCCTCATTATAGGCGTGTTATTTATTAAATAATACATACATTCATTTCAGTTTAAAGTTTATTTTATACGATTTATTTATCTGCGAAGAAGTCGGAAAGCACCGAACAACGTCGAATTTGCGTATATTGTTCTCAAAAAAGATTTGTGTGAGATGAGTATATTAAGGTTTACTTTCGACAATATACTTAATTAATTTATTGAGTATAGTGGAACCTGACAAACGTAACTGCATTAATGTATCAGTATTACTTACTTTCAATATTTTGGTATCAAAGCTCCATACATTTCCAAATCCTTTCCTAGAATGTGTTTCTTCATACGTAACAATATATAGAATATCATCTATATTGAAAGTGATGAACTTCTTCACTAATCCGAACATGGATTCATCATTTACAAAAATCAAATTTTTATCAGTTATAATAAAAATAGTTGCTCTCCGTGTCTCAAAATTAACCAAAATGTAATTTGAACTCTTAAATTCAAATTTATAAAAATTGTAAATTTTGTAATCAAATTTTTGAATCAATAAATAGTCGAAAGACTTGAACTTAAGAAATGAAGTTCGAACAGCTGTTTTGATTTTCTCCATAGTTTGGCATACATTTTTTGAAATCATCTGAAATAAAATATATTAAAATAAATTCATATTTAAATATATTATGTAGACATTAATGTACATGAAATAACGTTACCTGTTTTTTTGAATTGAAGTTGTAAACTAATAGCTCTTTTATATTACTAGCATTGAAAATTGGAGTCAATAAATTCACATTTCCATAAACTGTCCAATCACCATACACACTTTGGGGAGTAATTGAGTTCTTATTAATAACGTTGGAAAGCCAATAATTTAAATTCACTCCGTTTAATTTTCCGAAAATGTTTATATTTTTTTCTGTAGTTATTGAATTTCTAAATGCATAGTTGCCTGAAAAGTGAAACATTCATTACACTTATTAAAAATAGTAAAATATATTGATATTACAATCGTTAATTCCGTCAAATTTACCTATCCATGCATCGGTACTATTCAACACTATGAGTTTTTCAATATTTACGTTATTAATAAAATGAGAATTCAAATTTTTTCGTAAATATGAGTTATTTAAAAAAAACATATTTCCTGTAATATTTTGATTCTTAGATATCTGTAAAAAAATGAATGAAAATCAAACTTACTTTTTCATAAATATACAATCAAAAAATATCATACCATAAATGTTTTTTCGTATAAATCAGTGACATTTTCTCCATTCACTTTTCCAACCACTTTTAAGTTGACGACTGATGCATCTTTGCACAATAACGTCATATTTTTTCTAACATAACTATTTTTCAGAAGGAAAAATTTGTCAACATGTACGTCATTCCAAGACTCAATAAATAAATTTGATTGGAACACCACATCCTGAAACACGATGCCTGAAACATGAAAATAAAATTTACAAATTCTTTAATATATTTTAAATTGATTTTATATTCATTGTTTCTCGCTGTACCTTGAATTGTAGATGGATCATTTTTATAAACCGCGTTCACCATCAAACCACTGATATTAATACTCTTTAGAGTTAAAACTTGTAAATAATCTATAACAACAAAGTCACTGTCAAGTTGCAAGTCTTCTGCGAATTCCAATTTCGATTTCAACAAAAATGGTCGTTCAATAAATACTACGTTTTGATAAAAGTGTTCCAAATTAATCTCATTCAATTTTTTTACGATTGTAATGTTGTTTCCAAAAACAACATTATTAAATATTTTAGAGCCAGTGATATTCACTGAATTTGCACTGGAAGGAATCAAGTCTTCTGCAAACTCATAAATATTTTTATTTTGAATTTTTCCAAATACATCAAGATAATCGATTAAAGTATCATCGTCTATAAAAAAGTTTCCTGTAAGTTTGTACAAATTGGTGTCAAGTTTTGCAACTAATTCTGCAGAACGATCTGACAAAAATTTTTCAAGATTATGTGTCGTGTCATGTATTGATTTCACCCAAGTTCGACCTTAAAAAATTATATTCATTGTTAAAATTTCTTTAATCATTTTACATCGGTAAAAAAACTTACCATTTATTGTTATTGGTCCAGCTAAAGTTTGGTTTTTATTACAGTTTATTACATCATTGGTGGAATGTTCATTTAAATACTCTACAATTAGATTATGGCATTTCATTTTATGGATTTTTTTCGATGGTATGAAATGTGAGATGAATTGGAATTCTTTTGTTTTAAATTCCAGTAATTTTGAAACATTTAAACCATTTATTAGATCACCAACAATTAATTGTTCAATGAATGAATCTCCTTGTACAGTGTAGTTTTTTGTGTTATTCAAATCGAAATCATGTAAACTTTTATTATTGATATATGTAACATAAACATTTCCATCTACATACATTTTGTCTACTTGAGAGTTGTTGCCATAAATGTTATCAATTAATGACTTCATATTTTTTATTTTGTTGAAAAAATTTCTTGGCGTAATATTATTAAGGAGATTAACTTTTAATACATCTACTTTTAATTCATTTAAAAATAGAAAACTCGATATATTTTGAGTTCTTGATCTTGATATTCTTTCACTCGAGAATTTTTTCAAATTAATTCCATTGATAAATTTTGATTCTAGATTATTTACGTATAATTTATGCACTTTAACATTATAAAATTTCATGTGGTTAGTAACTGAGAACATTTTTTCATTGAATTCTGAGTTTTTGAAGTTTCCATTTAAAGATAAAAAAGAAAAATTTTCAACCATGGGAGTATCTGCAAACACTATGGGTTTATCTATACACAATCCATTATTTACAATTTGCACTAATCGTTTCTCGAATTTTTCACAGTCGACGTAACTCACTTCATTAAAGTATATATTTCCGAATATTTTTACTAAATCTGAAAATAGTTTAAAAATTATTAGAAACTGTACCCATCATTTATACAAAAAACTTTGATTAACTTTACTTGGTAAGTTTTGTTCAGTATCCAATGTGATGAAGTCCTGTACTGAATGGTTATTTATTATATGATTTTTTATTGCTAAGCTTTTGGAAAAATAAACATTGTTCGTAAATGTTTTTTTTCCATGTATAATAGAATTATTTTGACTTTTCAATAACAAATCATCTAAACTATTCCAACGGGTTCCATTTAGATTTTCTTTAACGTATACGTGTCCAGAAACATTTAAAAAATTGAACATTACATCTGAATCTACTTGATTACTGTTTAAGATGGTCAAATCTGGATTAATATCGTGTTCTGGCAATCCAGTAATATTGCCATGAATCTAAAAATATGTGTAAAATTATTAGTGCTAGTATCAATGGATAAACCTAGTTTATCATTATAACTTTAATACCACAAGGCTAACGTCCACAGTTAAGTTTTCAAAAAATATTGTATAATTTAAGCTTTGATCAGAATTGAGAATAACAAAATCATCAGCATCTATTTCGTTGATTGTGTACACTCCTTCAAGATTTAAGACCCGAAGAGTTTGAAAAGATTTTGAGCCTTGAATTATTGCAATCTCGGGAAAACTTTTGAATATGTACTCAGATGGATAAACTCGTCCATTTAAATAAACGGTATCCAAAGCTTCTATAGAAGTTCCCTAAAATCATTTTTTATAGTATCGTAATTAACTATTTTATTTCATTTTCATGTAATATAATATTCCTACCCTTAATATTTGAGTTTTCCCAGGTATAATTTTTGGTTGATTTATGAAAACTAAATTATTGATTATACTACTCCAATTAGTTTTCATAAGCGTTGACAAATTCAAATTTCCATTGATTTGAAATCTGGAAATTTTTTCTACGCGAGACACATGATAGCTTTCAGAATTTACGAATTTCATATTTTTCAAAGGTAACCCATTTATTCGTTCTATTATCATATCTTGATTTTTTAATTGTAATATTGGAAATGACTTTCGACCAACTATTTTGTGATTTTTAGATTCCATACAAGAACCTAATAAACTTTGATAAGGCAAATCGTTCAAGTTTTTAACAAATAAATTTTCAACGATCAATGAACCTTTTATTTGAAAATGTTCACGAAAATCTAAATATGAATATTCCAAAGTTTCAGAAATCCATTTATTCTCTGCTTTATTTAAATTTTGTTCAATCTCTACACTAATATTTATAGATTGATCATATTTTTGTTTGAAGTTGATTATTGAAATATTGCGAAATCCAAAAGATATTCCAAAATCATCAAAATAATTCCAAATTTCATTAGCTTGTAAATAACTCATAGAATTTGAATCTTGAGAAATTGGAATTTCCCATAGTTCAGTTTCAAAAAATGCATTTATTTTTTCATTTAGTACATCTTGTTTTTTTAATATCTTCTATAAAAATAAACAATTGAAGTAATTCTAATATCGAAGTAAATGTTTAGTTGAATTGAATAATTATTATGCTTTTAAGTGTACCTGCAAAATATTTTTCGAATCTAACAATTTTTCATCATCGAATAAATTATTTTGAAACGTTGAATTCAATTGTATATTAATTTTAATAAGTGTACGATTCACTTTAATGCCAAATTTTGGCAATATGATTACGTTTGATCTATCCCTTTTTTCTACATCAAATTGCGATAAAATTTGTTTGAATTCGGTCCCTTGCCAACCGAGTATAATCATACCAAATAATTTCGAATAAACGATTAAAAGAACTTCATCTCGATAAGTATCAATAGGCAAGCTATAAATATGTTCTACTGGTTGGATAACTGAAAAAAAGTAAAAATAAACTTCATTAGTCATTTTGTTCCCGAGATTTTTAGCTATAATTTTTTACCTTTCCTTACCACTAAATAATTTATCCATGGAAACAACCGGTTGCCAACCAATATTATTTAATTCGAACATTTCTGTTGTATTACCCCAAGAAGCTACGTAATGTTTGTGCCCACTTTCAAAGTAAATAGCATCAATGGACCCCGTTATAATTATTTTTTCCCCTAATTTTAGATTACATTTCTCCATATCTTCATGCTTATACTCTTGTAAAATAACATGATTTTTCGTGATAAGAATAATTCTAACCTTGCCTTCATTTGTATTATAAATTTTGATGTTAACTATTTCAGGTATTCGAAATTGGAAACAATACCTAAAATAATACAAAAGTTGACTAAAAAAATTTTTTTTTTCTAAAATTAATTTGAAAAATTTACCGAAAAATTACGGAATCACCATCAAATATAACATCATATATTTCAATTATAGAGAGATCTACTTTACCGGTAATTGAATCATTCCGTGCTGTAATAAATTTATGTTGGTTTTCAAAATCAAGATATTGATAATGTTGAATATTTTTTAAATTTGCTAAATATTCTACTACAAGCGGTACGATTGTATCATTTTTCAAATAAAACCACTTTAAATCTTGCCCATTATCGTGTGATTTTACACTTAAAATCAAAATAATTTGATTGTGATCTTCGGTAATATCTTTTTTGTGCACAACAGCAAGTTTTAATGCTGTGATATTTTCAGTTATAGATATCTTATCTACATGAGATAAAGTATCTGTATAAATGTCCAAACGATATAGGTCCAAGGAAGTATCGTTAAAACCAGCCAAATATATACTTTCAAAATGTGTAATAACTTCCCAATTTCTCATATCTGAAGGTAATTTTGGGTCTTTCCATGAATACACCCCTTTTATTGTCAGTTCTACATCAAAATTATTTTTACATGTAAATGATTAATTTATACTTGTTCGTTAGAAATATGCATGTATATCATTTACGAAATCGATATAACATAATATCAAACCTTCTCGATTTATTACTGCATTACTTGCTTGAAACGCACAAAACACACAAAACAGAAAAAAAATAACACAATGAACTAATTTCATTTTATTTTACTCTTATCCTAAGCATTCGCACTACTGTAAACTTATCAGTACACATACTGAACTTTCACACTATGATGCTCTTCCAAATTCTTCTGAGAGTCATCCCTACTTTGTTTGTTTTCCTTATTCAATCACGTGTAATAGTATCGTGTAATCAATTCAAGTACGAGTATTTCAGTAACATTCCGAGAATTCTCATCTTTTAAAAATTTAAATATAATCTAAACGAAATTAAAAAATATTATTGTATAACAAATCCTAAAATAAATACAAAAATGAAATGTTATTCTTTAAAATATTTTATTTGAGAGCGATTAGTGAATGAATTGTAATTTGTGAAATGTTCGATGCGATACTAAAAAAAATGACTGTGGTGATTATGCTTAAACGTATAAGTATATCACTAATTTTCTTTACCTTTAACATTAAAATTCTGATTACTTCACTAAGCAACATAAGTCAAATTTTTTCACAAATTTCATAACAAAAATGTATATACTTCTTAAATTCCAAAATTAATTATGTTATTTATCAAATTATATTACCGACTATGTGATTGAATTAAAATACAATTTATGGCGAATTATGAAATTAAACAAATAATTATCACTGTCTTATACATAAATAGTCATACAAAAATAAAGACGATGAAATACATAGAATTTGACTTATTTTTCATTCAAATTAGAGATAAAAAAATCGTTTCTAGAATGATTTTTTAACAAATTCAAATGTTTTACAATAATGAAACATTCTTGCATTTTTTCTTGAAATACAAAGCTATAATTTTTTGATTTTGTCTAGATTGCAGGTTTTACAATTTTTACTGGTATAAATCTTGTACGATCACCAGCTTTAGGAGCAAATCTTAAATCTACTCGATCTGGATTTTCTTCGGTGCCAACAGTTAAGAATGAATTCCAATCTACCAAAAAATAAAAACCCGTTTTTGGTCTTGTTGGTATGACGGGGTCCGGTTCCTCGGTACTACCCCCAAAAGATTCTTCGAGGTTGCTTTGATTAGAATTGGAGTTTTTGGCATCATTCGATTCTTGTTCAGTATTATTCAAATACTTGTTTATATCAAAAGTCTCAAAAAAGTTACTTTTGGTTGTTCCAGAGTCTGTAGGTGCCACAGTAGTAGAAGAGGTAGCATTAAGGGCCTCCGAGCCATTAATATATTTATAAATATCAAACGTATCGAAAAAATCTGATTTAGTTGGTTTTTCATTATTAGTTGAAGAAGATGGCGATTGATCTCTTTGAATCTTAGGAGTAGTTTCTTCAACTGTATCAGTAGTGGAAGATTTTAATTTTTCTACTGGTGATCCGGAAGAATCTGAAATGCAAGATAAATAGATAATTATTTTTAATTGAGTAAAATCAGAACAATAAAATGAATTTTATTTTAGTTCATTAGAATAACTATGTAAAAAATATGGTTAGGATGAACAAATGTGTTGCCTCAGTATTTTTAAGTATTCATTTCGTAAAAATGTGTTTTTTGTGAAAAAAAGAAAAAATTTATAGCGATACTAAAATAAATTTTGTGGTTAAAAAAACATGTTTTCATTCCAAGTGGGTTGCATTTACATTTGCATGAATAATGAAATAGCGAGTAAATTTTGCACGCATGTTTAAATTCGTGTATTCACGATGTCATTCTAATGTACTTTTCGAAGGTTAAAAAGCGATAAGTGAAAGTTTAACGTAAAGATGTATAGAGTCAAGCGTCTTTTTTCGAGCAAATACATGGAGGATCTATTGTATAAAAAGTTTATCTTTTCGTTTATACTATTAAAACATGAATTTCAATTAACCGAGAAACTAACATTAAACAATACCTATTCAGTTAATGAGCGTATACAGTATACTATTGTTAAAATAAAAATATCAATAAAGTTAATTTTCATTCACTCAAAGGCAAAGTAGTGTTCAGGTATACAGTACTTGTATATTTTATTGATGTGCATATGGAAAATGTTAGTATTTCATTAAAATTAAAATGAAAATATTTTAATCGGTTAAAAAACATAATTGCATTCATAATTCTTTTAAATTAAATTAAATTATTACACGTTCCTGCTTACTAATGAAAAAGTACAACTATAATGTGCTTGAACCTTCCTCTATTATAAACTGTTATTGTATAATACTTTGATTTATAATGAATTTTTTTTCTACGTCAGACCGAGCGCTATATTACATTAATCCAGTGTACTATGCACACTATTCATACTTAAAGAATAATCATTGATTAAAATTATTAAGCTTATTATTTTAAGAATATATATATAAATTTTATAAAAATTGTCTCAATGCTAAAACACTTACACAATGCTGCAGTAGAAGCAGAGGAATAATTATGTTCATGGACAACTGTCGTAATTATAATTAATTCATACATTCAAGAGAAAAAATTAAATGGTGTTAAATCAGTCATAAACAATCATTAGACGTAGTTTGGAAAGATGTTAGTCACGAGCTGCCAGATGATTTACTAAGATTCCCAGTTATAGATGTTAAAAAACTTTTCATTCTGGTAATTCCCCCCATTACATGTTGTGCCCATCGCCCTGTTGAACCCACAAATTGAAGGAAAAGTTTCTTCATACCAGAACTAGCAACAGAAGATATTGTAGTCTCTTCTATTTCCTTTACTGTGGTTGTTGCTATCCTTGCAGTTGTGGTCGTCTCTGGTTGCCTTTTAACTTCGTTTTTGAGACTATTTCTATAATTATTCAATATTTCTTCGAGCTTTATGGGATCGGGGCCATTTTCTAGAGATTTGGTGCTTTCGAGTAAATTATGAGCAACTTTTTGAACTTCTTGAATACCAGCTTTACCTTCTTGAACTTTTTTCACTGTAGCTAGTAGATCTTTAATCATATCTTGTTGTTTCATATCTGTAACAACGCTTTCGGTTTGTTTCATGATGTCTTTGGTGGGTGATGTCGATGCTTCATTTTTTTTTGTTGTTTCTCTTCGATGTTCTGACTTGACTTTTGATTGAGATTCAACTTTTTGTGGCCTTTTCATTAAACCTACGCTTTCCAGAACTTTCTTCATATTATCTGGTACTTTATCTAATAAGTTAGCTTTATTGGTTGCAGCATTTTGAAGTATGGACTTTTGGTTTCTACTGCCTCCCAAGCCAAATTTTAACAAAAAATCTCGAAAATCGTTATCTTTCACATCAAAACTGGGTATTGGTTTGAAATTTGTATATGAATTGACATTTGCAGGTTTTGTACTAGGTTTACGAGTAGTGGTTGTTGTCTTAGCCATTTTTACATTATTGGAGCCTTGCAAACCAAATTGTTGAAACATTAGTTGTATATTAGGTGTTAAATTAACTACACCATCTTTAACATCTTCTGAAGCTTTATTAAAATTATCATTTGATACATCTGGTACGGGTTTCACAGGAGCGTCGTTCGTTTTGAGTCGCTCTAATCCAATCGCTTTGAGTATTAATTCAAGTTCTTGATTTCTTGGACTGTCGGTCGTCGTTGTTGTTGTAGTTGTTGTTGTTGTTCTCGTTAAACGAAAGTCATTGGGTACATTTTTCATGTTATTACTATTTTTTCTTCGACTTGTCGCTCGACTGGGTGTCACGAAAATTGAAGTTGGTTTACTTGTTGTTGACATGGTTTTATCTAGAATTTTATGAAAATCATCCATTTGTAATATTGAAATTGCTGGATCATCAACATTAGAATGGCTCGGAATCGTTGGTAAAAAGAAATCTTTTGATGGATCCACTGGATGCCAAGGTAAGTCTTTGGTAGTTGTTGGTTCGTCGGTAGTTGTAATTGTTGTAGTTGGGGGTGGGTTATAACGCCATCGATTCGACTTTAATACACTGGGAGCTTTCGTTGTTTCTATTATAGATTGACTGGTAGTTCTTACTCGAGGCGTTGTACTAGTCTGAACTTTTGATGGAGCTAGAGTGCTAGTTCTGTAACGAGAAAAAGTTCCCCTATAAATAGGTCGTTTTGTTCCTGCAGAAGTGTGCGATGAAGCCTCTGGCTTTTGGTCTAGAGTTTCCAAGTTAAAACTGAATTTTTGTGGAGCAGAATCCGATCTGGAATTAAGACTTGCAGTTGTCGATGATGATCCAACATTTTTTAAACCACTGGTTGGAATCTTTGACTTTACAGAATCTTGATACTTCACATGTGAGTTGAGCAATTGATGTTTCTTTTCTGTCATGGTTTTCGATGGTTGAGTATCTGTAACTGGAAACAAACTCGGACTGAATCCATTATCTATATCTAACATCGATGATTTCACATCATCATTGGCTACCATTTTAATTAAAGGAGGTTTTTTATATAATTCTGTTAGATTTTCTGGATTGTCTTTTACTTTAAATGGCAAAACAACCATGAGTGCTCTTCGGTAGTCTTCCCTTGTTTTTTCGATTGCAGAAAGAGCTTTGTCTTCAATAGATTTGATATCTTTCGAGGTAATATTATGCAAAATTTTAACTATACCTTTGCGATTCAATTTTGGCAAACTTGGATTTTCCTGGACTAGTCTTTCTACTTCTTCAATTGTGCGGTTTATCGAACTTTCAATTTCATATCGTGATGGCATAACTTTCTCGATCTCTAAACTACTACTTAAGCTTATGAAGACAGCAAAACACGCGCACACGAGCTGAAATCAAAAAAGAGGTCTAGTCAGTAAAACAAGGATATTGAAACTATTTTTTTTAATATGAGATGCAAAATTTGTGTATGCTGGGGAAAGTAACTCATTCAGATTTTGAATGAATAAATATCTAAAAGTAACATAATTTTGCAACCTGTCCTAGTTCGATTTTAAGTCGTCGTAAATCATTTTGTAGCATATAAAAAGAATTTTCAAATTCTCATTTGACTTTTTTTTCATCGTTTTCGAAAATTTTTTTGAATAATATTATCCGAAGCGTAATTATATAAAAATGGAAACATATACTAAAAGACATATAATTTATATAGTTTGGAGAAAAAAATAATTCCCGTAGGTTAATCTAAAGTGAATTGATTGCAAAAAAATATTGGACTATTCGTACAATATTTTTAAACAAGTTTTCTAGATTTCCAATTAAAAAACTATTTCGGATTTTATATTTTAAGAATAGAATTGCAAACCAGTGCGTGAATGATTCACCAATAGTTATTATAATTTACTTTTTGCATGACAAAGCGCAATCGATTTTACATCATTTCGGACTGATTTTTTATTCAGATTTTTAGTTTTTTAAGCAGAAAAAAAGATGAAAGTGATTATAGGGCATTTTTTAAAAAATCGTAATTTTAAGCATAGTACCGCTTTCAATTTGTGTTGAATCTTTGCAAAAATTGCTAAAATTAATAAACTAATCATATAAATATCATGATTATATTATATACAAACTTTAAAACTTATTTTTGTTATAAGTTGAAAAAAAATTACTCTGATCGATGACTTGATAATTTCAACTTATGATGTGTGTGAGTATTACTTTTTGTATCTATTGAAACAGTGTTAATGGGTATTTTGCAAAACCTACTAAGAGCCTCCGTGTCAAGCATTGCCTCATCGCAAATACGAATAATTTTTTTCAGATCTCTCTCAGCTAAGAATATTTATGAACTTACAAAAAAACAAAGTATCTTCTCTCGAAGATGTATGTTAAAATAGTTGGTTCGCATTCTATTAAGAAATATATGATTTTTCATGTTGTTAATTTGTGATACAAAACGATACTTGAAAGTTTTAAATTTATTTAGATAATATAATTTAACCATTAAATTCTTTTTGGCGTCTAAATGTAAAAAAGTGTTCTTGAAATGCGTAATATTTTTATATGATTCAGAATCATTTTACATTACTTTAACGAAAAATATTCATTATTTTCTGTATGATGACAAGATACGAGAGAAAAAAGATCGATATTATTTGCGAGGCGAATCAAACTCATGAAAGTAAAGAACGTCGTGATCCTTGACCACCTTATAAAATAATCGAGAAAGTCTAGTTGTTCGATGAGTCGATACTAATCGTTCTCATACACGCACTTCATTACTAATTTGTTCGAGTTATGTTATTTTTAATGGAAATCTTTATTACATGCTCTTCCTATAGAGCTGTAACTATTGTGTAATGCATTGCTCTATACTATTTGCTTCATGAATATAATTAATACTTATTCATTTTCTTTTTTTCATTCGCCAGAAATACTTTTAAATACTGTTCTAATTTAATTCGATATTATCAACAATAAAAGGAAACAACGTATTACGACGAAAGTTTTTGATCACTCAAGTGCAGTAAAGTTTATTTTATGCCACAGTGAATTTGAAAAAATGTCATACATTAAAGTAAAATAATAATAACATAGTCCTTACAAAAATTAACGAGAGCAAGTAGGATTTCAATGTCCGATTGTGCAGAGAACGAAAGTTTTATACTTTCAACTTCAAGACTATGCAATAAGCTTTGATGCAAGGATGATAATAATGCGTGTGTGGTTGTGGTTAGTTGATTTTTTCATGAGAAGTTTTGGCTATCCAAAGAACAAAAGGGCGTTGACCGGTAAATGCTTCTTTTTGTTATGAAACACATGATTAAATTGTGAATATAATTATATTAAAACTATTAAAAATCGACCGAACACAAATTAGTTTTACAGTCCATAGCATTACAAGTTTAATTTAATTTTCTGTTGTGTACTTATGGTACTGTGAGAAAGACCATTTAATTTTACACTTCAATAATTCGGTCTCTCATTTTGATTACTTTTTATTCGTTCTAATATAATTTCTCTAACTTGAAGGATTTTTTTTTCTAAATTTAACTTAGCCACTAATGAAATTTAAATTAAACACGAAAAAAAGTAATTGGAAAAATAGATATTATACATTCACATTTTCGAGAAACCGTTTTTAGAATGCGACTGTTGTGAAGATCGCAACATTTTCTAACGGATGATACAGAGTAGAGAACTACAATAAACTCTTTTAACACTAGTATACCTGTAATTGAAATGTACAGTTTAACAATTATGGAAATGCTTAAGTTGGTACTTACATTCTTCACAGTTATCATGTTTATGCCGGGTTATTTGAGAATGATTTTACATAAAATTAAAACATAAGTTTAGTTATTTAAATATTTACTTTTTCAGTAAATAAACTTCTTCTTATTTTCTACATTAAAACGTTTTTATTTTATTTCTCGTTAATTCATGAATGATTCGTTGAATATTGTTAATGCCACAAATTCATCCAAAATTGACGTATACACTCGAAAGAGGCTTGTATTACACACGAACTTAAGTCTCGGAGGGATAGTCGACAACTGAGTGTCCGTTCGGTTCGCATGAGCCTACTTTCCAACTTCTCTCTCTCTTCCTCGCATCTTATATACTACCACCACGCTCGACGTTTACCTTTTAAATTAACGAATGTGATGCGACCATCAAATAACTTGGTTGCGACTTTATTACTTGTTATTATAGTGCAAGTATAGGTATACATGTGCTTTGGCAGGTCAGCTCGCAAGTAAAGCCAAAACATGAGAGCTCAAAAACCTACAAGATAACACAACAAGAAAACCTTCGAGATCTGATCTTGATGGTAATTTTTAAGGCGAACTTAACACTTGTTTATTCAACTGACATTTTCAAATGTGTGGGACATTGTGTGTACGATGCAGTTTAAGTTAATTACTTGAACATTTTTTAATCATTTTTGAATGTAACACTTATCGTAAAATTTGGAATAAAGTTATTGCTTATATGAACGCGGACTGTTCTACTTCATGAATTTTGAAGAACAATTATTTTGATATTTGTAAATAAATTTCCATTTAAATATTACTGGCATATAAACATTAAATTTAAATGATTAACCGAAAATTATTCAATTATTAAATTCAACTTTTTATTCAGTCAAAATTCAACCATTTATTTATGAAAGGATTACCTTTTCTTTCTTCGACTCTTGTAAAATATAATTATTAAAGGCATTCCAAAATTGTAAACATTGTCAACCCTCTATATTATCGATTAAAAATGAGATTCACTTACAACCATAACTATCAATTAATTAGAAAGTTGTTTACCATCACTTGGTCTTAACATATATTTACCCGATAAGCGCATCCATGACTTACTGGAACATTGCAGAGTAAAAATGTATTTTCCGTTATTGACAATACATTCTAAAGGCTCGGGCCAAAATCCTAACGATCGCATCTGTAGAATCGAAAGTATGCGAAAAGTGAAATTAAGCACTTTCTTCGCTAGAACTTCAGTAAATTATAAATAAATAAAAATAAAAAAAACAAACATCAAGTATGCACATGTAGAATTTGATGAATTTATAGTGATGCAATCAAGCATGCCTAAATACTTTCATGCTACTGAGTGTACAAGAAGAAAAGATACATCAAACCGAAATCTCTTCAATCCTCCGATGTCAATTTATGTAAGATGTACTCGCTTATCAACTGCAATTTATTTCATCTCAAGTTCAAGAAAAATGAAAGTTCACAACCACTCATGCAACGAGCTCGTTGACCTTCAAACTTTTACAGGTACCATCAAAATTTTTTATTCTGTTATCAATTAGCAAACAATGGGATAGGTTCAAAAATGATAAAATCTGTTAAATATTCAAATTGAAATTTCTGATTTATTGCGTTTTTATTTGAGTTACTGAGAGACGTGATCTAACTTTTTTATTACAATGGAATATTATATATTTGCGAACTATTAAAATAAAGTAAGTTATTACAGCAATAATTTTGCGTTATTTGTATAGAATTGTTTTTTGCAAGAAAGTATTTTAAATTTACTAAATACGAACTAAATCGATAGAAAATCCAATGAATAGTCTAAAATTCATTTACATAATTATCACAAAAATGTAACGCAAACTAGAAACTATTTTAAGATACATGTACGTTTGTTATGATCTACAGTTGCTAGTAATAATATTTCAATCGTTAGGAAATTTATCATTTTTTAATATGATTATAACATTATTACCTCAGCTTTTTCCCTTGGATTGAAGAAAATTACTATCAATTATGCTCGATTTTATTGACAATGAAAATATAAACCAAATTAAATTTTTTCATCGTTTACTGAATTATTTATATTTTTTGAAATTCATTTACAAAATATCCGATTTTTTAACTTTCAAATCGTTTGAATTTTGAATATCTTTTATTAAATAACTCACTTAAGATCAAAACAAAATAATTTATGAAAAATATATCCACGCAAGTCTATTTTATCAGTACACAAAAAAGCAGGTAAAAAAATTCATTAAAATATTCAACTTCAAAAACGCTTTCACTATCGGAAGCGAATTTTTGAAATGTCATGCGTAAGAGGCGATAATTCCTTAGATTCGAAAAACGTAATGGTCATAAATTTCCATGCCCAAGCTGAGTTTGAGACACTATAAAATCAGGTACTTGACTACTTTGTACTAACTTTCAATGCAGTGTAATCTTTCTCTACATATTATTGGCAAGGCATCTCTTGTTTCAAGTTGCAGATGTAGGAAAGCTCATCAATTTTATCTAAGACCACGTATATATTTTATAACAATTGAAACTACAAATATGTGAAACCTTCGTAAATTGAGAAAATTTTAATTTTTGACTAGAATAGTTTCGAGTTCAATTGTAGTGCTTCTACGTGTTTTAAGAAGCATTGTCATTTATCAATTTAGCAATTTTTTTATTCGAATTTCTGAATAATATGTAAACGCCTTACGATATACTTTGTCAACATAAACGATTATTTTTACTCAATTCCAAGATAGAAACCAATGTAGTGCGTCTTATTTATTTATCTTATTTTATTTTCTTAAAATATAAAAGAAAGTCAACACACTTTCACATACAACCCAATCAGGTCAAATATTTGTCAGACTTCCGACTGGTTCATTCATCTTGATTATTTTCATGGATTGAGAAGCTGCATCAAATATAAATTTTTGATGAAAGGGACCATTATAAAATTTTGATTATTTACATAAAATTTGTATAAAATTATGTTTCTCATCGCTAAATTTTTTTTTATCCATGAATTTTTAACCTTAAAAATGACTTTTTTAAAATCGAATACTTTTAATAATATTATAACTTGGGATCAAATGTGAATATTACGTCTCTCATTAACGCATTGTTTCATAAAAATATTTATTAAAAAACAATAATAATTTGTTTTTATAATAGTTGTTGATCTTCGGCTGATAGGTTATCTACAACCAAAACCATCAGTTAATAATATAAAAATATATTATAATCATCAGTCAATATTATTCTGCCTTACCTACAGTAGGATATGAATCTGCTTTCGTTCGAAATGCTTTTGATCATTATAGAATAATAAGCAATTCATTAATATTATTGATTTATTTTCATTTTCTCATTCCCCACGAGATATTAATTGTTTTGTGATTTTTGTAGATGAAAATGATTTTTTTACGTTTAAAATACAAAGAGCTGTAAGGATATGGCTTGCGTCAGGAAAATAATATAATTCACACAAAATTAATTGTATACAGTGTCTACGGAGCTTACAATAAATTGTAATCTGTGGAATAAACTAATAATATATCACACGCGAGTTGTAATATATATTAAATAAATATCAATAAAAAAATCGGACTATTTATTTTTCGCGAAGCTAAACGTTTCATTTGAAAGTTAATTGTTTCATCTATAAATTTGCAATTTGCTCTCACCCTCTAAAAGATTCCAAAAAATGTTTAATTATCATTTTGGACGACCTGTCTAAATCCTGTTTTGGTTTTGTTGTAGACATCAGTAAGAGAAATAATTTCCGAACCTTGCAAATTCAATTTGGTTTTTGTAATCGAAAGAAATATTCATAATAAATCACTGTTAATTTTAGAACAGTAAGTTGATGGCTTGCTTCTTTATAATGTCTTTAATGTTTTCTGCGGTGCGATTCTCGTATTTAGGATGAAGATACATATTGCTTGTATTCGTTGTAGACCATGTTAAAGAAATTACCACCTAGTGCATTGGACTTTGGTTAAAACCTGTTAAAACTCGGCTATTTCACGCTTCAAATAGTTAAAAAACAAAGCACTTTATGCAACTATCGAGTATAGTATTTAACGTAGTTTTTCATACCAAAAGTTAAATTAAAGATATGTTCATGTATGCCGAAGATAAATAATGTAAGATACGCATCCTTCCAAATGACGTAAATTAAAATATCATTTGATTTTAAATTTGTGTCGTTAACATGTTTTTAACGCTATTTAGTGAAAAATTATTACTCACATGAGTTGATTTAAATAAACATTTTGTTTCATTATTTATTAGTTTTTAATAAAATTCAATACTGCAACAAATAAAGACCCCGGAAAAAAGCTCAATTTAATACACTTCTCCCTGAAAAATAAAATGCCGTATGAAATATCCTCACTAACAGTTAGCTGATATTAGATCGTATCAGCAGAAAATTTTGAAAGCAAATTTTTTGCGATTTTGTAACGCATAAGTTTATCAAATCAGCATTTAAAAGCAGCGATGCAAAGAATAAAAATCATCATACATCATTGTCATTTCTTACTGTTTTATTCATAAGAAAAATATTAATCTGGAAATATTATAAAGACGGAAGATTCGTCCAAAGTCCAGAATTATTAGCCGTATTCTCGTATGCTCAAGTATCTCATATACTTACGTTACTCCGTGCCGCGAAAAGTAAAAGTGTGCTTGGCGGTACAACGAAAGTGGCGGGAGGGGAATCCGCAATCCTACCTGTACACCTCGCACATGAGAAATCTCGCGAAGACTAGGCTTACTTTCAAAAGGCTCGCGCGCCTCGACACTTTAAGTATGAAATATTTTGGTCAAACAGTGCTTTAACGATTGAATTTTGAAAATATTTGTGACCAGGTTGAGTTGAAATGCAGTTTTAGATGATTAATTATTGGCTGTTTAAACGAACGAGATAGAATTTTATAGTTTAAGATGAATATAGAAGATTTGGCAAAAGTCTCCACCGATTGTGAAGATTTCAGTGGTTTTGATTGTAATGGTTACTTCGTACCGACTACCTCGCAATGGTTTCACAGTGAGTAATAAAAAATGTTTTTTTAAAATAGTAGTTCATGCTCAATGTTTTGCACTGTGTTGCATCGTTTTTTAAATTGAGTGTTAACATATCGAGAAAGTTGAACTTTCTATGCTGATACAAACAAATAAAATTGAGTAAGGGTATCATTGCAATATATTTATTAAAAGATTGACGCTATCTGAAACATTTTAATAGTATTAAAAAAACGTTATAATTTTATAACAATATTCTAAAATTATATCTGGTCATTTGTTATCCTTTTTTTATACATTAAATTAAAAAAAAATATCTTACATACTACTAACTTCTACAGTCTATAACCACCAAATTTGTATAGTCCTTTCTAATATTAGCCAACATTTTACTATGACTTTTGAAGAGATTAAAATACTATTTCATAATATCTGTAATTTTCTAATTGAGAAAGTTCTATCTTTATTTCCTTGTAATTAAAAAAGTAAAACCGATGAATATTTGATTTGAGAATCAATTATATGACTTTTTTTCAAATTTTTTTTATACTTTGCCAGCTTCGTACTACCGCACTTCTTGATTTAATTCAAACGATCTCTTTAATTTCACTGAAAAATTCTTTCAATATTTCTACATCTTTTTTTATAGAATGTTACTATTATTTCAGTATGAGGTTCGAACCGGTTTAATTCACAAATATAATAGTAAAACAGGTTTTAATTCATTCATAGATCAATCTATTAGCTCATTCATAATTTACAAAGATAACTCTATGTTTGCCAATATTATAATCTACTTACATTATACATTTTTATTGCACTTAACTTTGAGTAAAAATAAAAAAAAATGGATGACCCTCTGAAAACTCAATATTTTACATGCCAACTCTTTAAATATTGATTAATATTTCTAACTTCTAGTAAGTCTAACTGAAATCATTCATTCATAAACTTTAAAAAGAATATATTTAATTTATTTATGTCATCCTTTTTTTATAAACTTGAGACTTGAAACCTCAAAATTACTTGAAAATTTGTTTGTTTTTCTCCTGAAACCTGTCAGTTTCAATTTTTTTTTTTTTTTTTGCATAATACTTCATGGAAGTCATTGTACACAGTGAAAGTCGGACCTCGACGCTACAGTTGTACAGGTTTTATCTCGTAACGCGAATAATTGTACATCACGTACTTTCGACCCCACATATTTTTTAAATCTTTCACTACTTATTACATCAACTTTTATTTATGAACCGAGTGGGGAATGACTTATGAAACAAAATCAACAATACTTTTTGTAACATTCTAACTTAAAAATCGCAACACTGACGCTACTCTAAGCTCTTGTGCTATAAAATGTTGTATACTATTTACATAAATGAGCCATTTCACACCAAGTGTCCTAGCGCGTCGCCGCACTTAAATTAAACGCCATTAAACGAAATAACTCAATTTCTATCTCGTGTAAGAAGTATCAAAATACACGCAGAAAAAATAACTAACTAATGGGTTCGATAGGAAATTTCTTAAGCTTTCGATTAGAACTATTTAAAAAAATCTTAAAAATGTCGTTTTCAAGATATTTGCATTTTATAATTTATGTCAAGTTTTTCGATGAAAATGGTAAATTTCGGAAAATTTAACAACACCATCGGAGAGCTGAGAAAATTTCCTATTGAAACCATGAGTTAGTTATTTTTTCTGAGCGTATTTTGATACTTTTTACGTGAAATAGAAATTGAGTGATTTCGCTTAATTGCGCTATGCGGCGACGTACTAGGACACTTGGTGTGGAGCTTTTTTAACAGAACTCGAGTAGCCCTCGATTAAAAAGAAAGCATGTCCATACTCATGGTATACTATACACCTACTCCGTTTTATGTATACTATTAATAATTTTGTGTTATCAATAATTAATTACATTTTAGAATATTCAGTTAAATTTTCAGCCTTAAATACTGAAAAATAAGCTGGCTGTAGCAAATTTTCACATGCATCGTAAAAAAAATCCGGTGGACACCGACACTCAAAATCTACTCGACCGATCCAGTTCATATTTTATATACTATTTAAGTAGATAATATATGAAGTAATGACGTCGAGATAACTTAGCTTTTTGCATTTTTAAATGCTTTTTACTAACATGTACGATGACTTTTTTCACTTCAAAATGATGACCAAAACTCAAAAATCATTTCAAACGAAATATCTCGACGTTGTTACCTTATAATTTATGTAGTTAAATAGTGGGAAAAATTTGGAAAGAATCGGTCGAGTAGATTTTTAGTTACAGTGTCCACCGCAATCCATCTTTTTTTTTCAGTTGTGCGAGAAAATTTGCCGTAGTTAGCTTATTTTTCACTATTTTTAGGGACGTTTGGGACCTTTAGGTCAAGTTAGGCCACGAAGTTGATACTTCGGAATTTGATAGTTAATAACACTCATAATGTTCTCCCGAAATTTTAGCATCGATTGTCGAATGAATTTTTGTATAATTTAATTTTAAAAGTACACTTTTTAACATGGTAATCATAGGAAAGCTCACATTTTTCATACAATTTTAAGTGTAACTTTAGGTCGAAATGGGAGATCGTGACCAAATTTCGCATAATGAAAGATGAAATCATTAGCTTTCAAATGGTATCGGTTATATTGCATATTCACGAGCATATTTCAAAGTAATTTTATAAAAATAAAAAAATTTCGTGTTTGTTCTACATGCAATCTAACTCGAGAAGTTAGCATCAGACAAAAATACGCATGATAGCATATGTATTGGCTTTGAGCCTATGATACCACCGACCCACCTAGTTAAATCAAGTATCTACCATCCGCTGTTTCTTGACAGTTGCTGATTTGAACTCGGTTGCGTCCCCAACGTCCTTAACTAAAATTTTAACTAAATTTTCTTCAAATAACTATTTATAAGGTGTATAATTTATAGATAAATTCATTTTACTATGTGCTCAAAAAAAATTTTTTTAAATGAAGCTCGAAAACCATCGAACAAGACCCCCCCTCCCTCCCCTTCAGTTCAAGTCTTACCAAACTAAATAAATGCTTCCTAATAATAATCCCATTATACTTAAAATCACATGGATATAATAGGTTTTTTAAAAATGAATATGTGAGGATAATGATAGTTTACGATTATAACATAAGTTGTTATCTTAAACAAAAGGAATTGTTAAATTATACGCTGACTAGGGAGCTTATGAAAGACTACCGCTGGTAAACATAGACATCAAAGCCGCGTATATTAGCCTGTAAAATTGAATAGGGTAATAAAAAACAACGGTTCATTCGAAATTACAATAACGAAAGAACAAGTAGTGGTTGTTCTTTCCAGGCCCCCATGCATTCGTATCTACATGCAGCTTACAGCGAAAAAGCTGTTATTTTAGCAGTGAAGTACTTACACCTTAAAAGCTATGCGGAACTCGTGCAACGTTAGATTTTAATACATTGAAACAAGTAATGCCGCAGTACAATAAACTCAAATACAGAAGCGGAGCTGTCTTGTTTGCTACCACCTTTTCCTCCAACTATTTGCAACGTAATTATTTTCTCACCAATGCAAGAACACAACTACAGGTGCATTATTGATACGAATTATTGGCAGAAGCTTTGAATTTGGTTCACGATGCACTTTTAGGGTATGAATTAATCGAAACTAATAAAATCAATGGCTTTACTTATGCAATTTATAAATTTAAAGACAAATGATTCAATATATGATACGAAGCTAATAGAAACTATGAAGTACAATATAATATTAGCGATATTCCTAACTCGTTTATGCTCGCTCAGTTAAAAATATTCATACATATTTAAATTGGATTATCAGGTAACAGGCTTCCCAAACCTTTTTCAATAATTAACATAATATTGTACCAATTCAATTCATTAGAATAAACTTTTAGTTGTTTCTTTTTCTCGAGTTTTATGTGGGTCTTTCAGAAAATTTTTAAAGTGAATGGAATTTTTAAAGGCTTGATGAAAATATAAAAAATAACACCTGATTTTTTTATAATGTGGAAAATCCTTTAAAAAATGGGCCCTAAAGCCAATGAGATCAAACTAAACTCAGGGAGCTTCAGTATTGGGTACCAGGAGACCCCAAAAAAATTTTGGAGCAAATCCATGACCCGGAGCTGAGGTGGTCTCCTTTTTAGTTTTCATATACGTAAACCTAACTTTTTCCTACGATGTCTCGTTTGTATCCTCATGGAGGAAGCGAAATTCCATTGCTTATGAAAAAAAGGGATTAAATTTTAGACGGTTTTGTTTAATTTTTATAATTATAAGAACATTCACTATCGGTCCACAAGTGACAGATCAGAAGAGACGTATAAGAGGGCCTAAAATAAAACATTCGATATCAGGAATTATAGAAGAAGCAAATTATTATCTAATGAGTCTTATATTCTATAATTTAAATCGTATTCACTGTAAAATAATAAACTAACGATTAATTATTTATAAGTATAAAAATTACTGAAATAATGTCTTTTGTAGGTCATGGAAATTTTGCTATATTTCTGGTGGTGCTTGGGGTGGTAACGGTTGCGACGACTTGTTATCTGGCAATTAGAACTTGCGTCGCAATTTGTTTTCGGACAAAAGAGACCGACACATTCAAGACGAATACATGCATCATTTTTGCCATTTACCCGATTGCTTCTCTATGCAGCTTCATCGCACTTCTAGTTCCCAGGTATCAATAAATAACTTTTCAAATAACGATATAAATTAGGTATTAAGTAACGTTTTTACACAATTTTGATGATTACTGATTTATATAGTAGCTCTTAAAGTACGACTTTCTCAACTCAATGGTGCATTCGCATCGATCGATAAATGAGATATTATACAAGTAGAATAACTTGTCCATTCAATATTAAACTTATTTTCATTAGTGAATAAAAATGAATGCATAAAAATGGTCAATAAAAACATTTCATCTGATTTGACAAAATAAGCTAATCAAATGTATCTTTCAATGCATATTAAAAAAAAATGTAACGATACAAAAAGAACAACGGTTCAGTCAATTATAAGACTTATGAAAGAACAAGCTTTGCAACACTAGCAAAAAATAGAGTTTCAATCCCGTAGAGTATAGAAGAACATTCAGCACATATAGAAATCGAAGAAAATAGATAGAAATGGTGAATTCTCTTAATACACCTTAGCACGAAAGTGTGTGTATGTGTAGAGCCAAAAAAACACGATAACGTAACTAATGATCTTGAGGGTCTAGCAAGGATTCCCGTTTATAGGTATCAGTCTGATTCCAGCTGGCCGATAAGCATCCACGCCTGCAGCTTAGCGAGGTCGCCTTACAGCCGCTCGCACGAAAGTGCCGACGGTGTTAATGAGCAATCGTACGAAAATTAACGCCATTGGCACGCACGGGAGCTCGCACAGATAAATATATCTATATCTGTATATATCTATATATGTATGTATCATCGTGAAAACAACGTCGACATGTAAATGCGTGAGCGCGAATTTCTCGCTCACCCGTCTACCTTTTTGCCTGTGCGCTAAAAGCCTCGCGTCACTACTTTTAACGGTATTATAAAACGATGTTAAATGATAAGATCGACATGGTGCACGTAAAGCTTGAATATTAAAAGCCGAGCAATACATGTCAGCTCGTTGCTGCATTATTGGCATCTCTCTTGAACTACACTCGATACAGAGCGAATTAAACGACCCTCTTTTTTCGGGTTTATTCTAAAAAGGTAAAATTGAAGACTCACTTTTTTGTTACGATTTCGTGAGAACATATAATTTTATTTATTATTTTACGTTTTATCCGTCGGACATTTACACATATTAGAACAGTACATGAAAACCATTTAAAATGTGTTTATTTCAAATGTTTAAGAAATTAAAAATTTTACCTAATTTGAAATTTTGATTGGAATTATGGTATTGTGAAAATTATTCACTTATTCTGTGGATTGCATTTTACGAATAATTTGACTTTCTATCTGTACGAGAAGTGACTTGTTATATGCTAAGATGTATGATGAATAACCTCTCGTCTTAAGTGTTAGCATTACTTTTTAAATTTCAGAAATTCTATGCGCTTAATTAAAAAAAGAACGAATATCAATTACGAGTAATCATGCGAGTTTAATCATTTTAGTATTATAAAATTTTTTTACTATAATTTTAAAATTGAATTTTACAACGAATTATTGGAACAAAAAACTTAAAAAAGTAATGAGTTTATAATTTGTATACAGATGCACTCAAATTATTGATTCAGGTATTAGAATATCTTGTAGACTATTTGATGTAAATTTGAGTTCTATTCATTCTAAAATTTCATCATCATGCAAATTGGCTAAGCGAAACAAGCTGCACGAAAATTAGATGCAATTTTTTCCACTTATGATCTTAGCTCGGGGGAATAATTTTCCCTTCTTTTTATGAATATTATAAATTTCTGTAAGATGCATAACAATTTTTAAAATGACTAAAATGCTTTGGTTTTTTATTAACGCAGGACGCAGTTGTTGGCGGAAGCACTGACTTTGGCTGCTTTGACTATTGGAGTTTATCGGCTATACATATACGTGTTGGAACTAGCCAGTAGAAAATCTGCCAAACTACCACCCATAGAATTGGCTGGCCGTAGGTTTTTGTGGTTCAAGCTCCCCGAAGATATCCAATCTGACAATGTTTATTCATGGCTCAGAATCGCCGTACTTCAATTGCCACTGGTTCAGGTACGTTATGAGGGAAAATCTGTTATATCAGATATATTTTGCGTTTTTAATTTTTTAATAAGCCTAATGCTCAAAAGCTTAAATAAATAAATAAATGAATAAATATAATTAAGTAATATTTACATATTTCGATCTTTTTCCCCTTTTTTAGTTTAGGGCAGTACATTTTTACTGATAAGTACGATAATGATTTACTTACATTGATAATCCTACAGGAAAATGGATACGCACTTGTTGAATTGAAATTTATATCGCATATAAAAGATCACAGCAAATACCGTTGCACAAGTATCAGTCTACATTACATAAATAGTGCACATCTGATACAATTAGACTATCGTGATAGTCTAATTATTGCTGCAGCAGCTTAATATGAATCCTGATATTTACCCGCGATCTTCCTAATTAAACGATTTTGTCGTTGACTGTAACTTACTTTTTTTGCAAATCTATTAATATGTTGTATGTTATCGAGACTCATAAAACTGATACGTGGTTTAGGATCTTATAGTTTTACTTGTGTATTTATGGGCTTTCTACAATGAGATGGAAATTGCTTCGCTGATACTCACTTAATCATATCAATGATCTACATTAATAAAAAATCCATTGATAAATGTCAATCCAGACTCGAGTGAAAAACATTTCATGATAATTATCATATATAGCCACTAAAATAGGGCGCTCCGCCGCTCTAAACTCGTCTTTGTTTTCATAACTCGCTCACGCCTCCTATGCAGAATTAATTAAAACGCTCAACTTAGAATCATCAATGCTGAAAATTCAATATACAATAAACTGATACTTTCTGCAGCGCCACTCAACTAATCAGAACGCTTATAAACTGTCGACATTTTTGGCTGATGCTTTTTCTGAAAGAGGATTTAAATCTCTAGATAAAACGATGACGAATTCAAAATACAATTTAATCGATTTTAAACGTGCTTAAAAATTTCAATTCTTTATGTGTCGATGCAAATCAGATACATAATCAGAAAACATACTTTCGAATCACAGATTTTTCAAAACATAACACATTCGACTTTATCGGATAACTTATAAATTTGACAGACAGAGATGACACGAAAAAATGTTGAAGTAATGTATCAAACGCTTGGATAATTTTTATTTAAATAATTCATGTTTTTTTCGCGCTTCGTGTAGAGTGATCTTCGTGGAATTATATTGCAGCGCGTGTGCAACGCATGATGTTTTTAAAATGATTCGGATACGCGAGCGCAATGCGTGTTGTAGAAGAAACGAAAAAAGAGCAAAATTCTACTCTTTTTGAAAAGAAGGCTAATAAAGCCTTGCTCTGTAATTTTTCTGAAACCAAAAGAGACTACGTCGTCGTCGTTGTTGTGTCGTCTTCGTCGCGGCTTGCCAAGGCACTCATCCGACTCGTTTTCTGCGTACTGCCACACAGACACTTGTTTTTTTGGTCTCGGGCGTAGTTTCAGAAAAATTATGAGTCTCTTCCTTATTTCGTTGTGGTTTGATTTTTTCTGTTTCTTAAATTACACTTGAATTATAGTCACTCGGCTTGCATATTCTTCTTTTTCAATAAATAATTCGATAAGAGGGTGATAAACTGACCGTTGAAATGTTTCACGCTGCATCGGAGTGCAAATTATTTGTTTTAATGCTTTATTTTTTCAACAATACCAATTACAACAGTTCAGCCTACCTACTGCTGAATATGTCGCATTATAAAAATGATACTTTACAAGTTATGTTCCACGATTCAGAGGACATGGAAAAAATTGGAATAGAGACGTTAAATCCTAAACTTATCTATTATTTCTTAAAAAGTCCCTTTTGCAAAAATTGAGGACGTGAGCAGTTTAAAAGCTTTCTGATTGGTTGCAGAACGACGCTGTAGAATACATTTTTTTATTTCACTCCATTGACAGTGTGCTAAGCGTTTCGATTCAGGTGCTTGTAGAAGGCGTTAGCGAGTGGCAAAATAAAATAAGTCAAATTGGAGACGCATGAAACGCATTGTATATTGGATAATCCCACATAAAACTTGTAGGGCAACGTTTTTCATGATAAAAGTACAATCTAAAATTGTGTGAGGAAATCTATTTTGACATCCAAATTAATTAAATTTTTTTGTTAAAATATACGTTTATAAAAATAAATTTCTATGGTTAGTTACTTATGCAATTGTATTGTAGAATTGCTAATAAATATGATTTCTTGAGAGATTTTAATGTACTGCACAAAGTGAAAGTTTCGATGCTAACCAAATGATAATATTTGTGGGTAATGATATTGTATGCAATTGAAAAGCCTCTTGAACATTCTTTACTTTATTAAGATCGACGGTTACAATAATGCTTTTTACTTTTTTAGTCATTAATGATAACATTTCAAATTAACTTTTTTTTTTAGCGAATACCGTGACACATTAGTTCATTATAAAGTTTCAAGTTTCAAGATAAATTACTATTTCGTATTCACAACTGAGTAACATAGTGTGATCGAAATCGATACATTCAAACTCATCGGATAAATGCAGTGCGCAAACATACAGCTCATCGATTTAATCTATTGTCTGCGCAGATAGAATTACAGCGCTACGGGAAAAAAAGCGATTTCACGATGTGCATCCTTGTGCATCGGAACTTGGCAAATATAACTTACTCGAGAGCTGTACGTGATTGTATGTATGTGCACAACAACATTGCGTGATTCGTCACATAAGGTGTTTGCAGAAAAAAAGAAATAAGTGCATAATCGGACTAGCGTTATAATATGGATAAGCCGCCCTTCGGCCGCTAATGAATAATGTGGCACTGACTCCGTTGTTTTCTCTCTCTGTCCGCAGGGACTAATCAGCTGCCTTCTGCTGTTCGTGGCAGCCGAGTCGCCGTCGACAGCCTACAGCCAAGGAATCTGTGTTATGCCGGCTGTAATTCTAAGCATCGTCGTAGGTGTGTTTGGACTCGACAAACTTACGAGCAGCCTCGAGCCTCTTTTACCCAGTACGTATATACCTGCATAAACTCTATTTCAATTATAGCATACAATACTTGGCTATTAAATTATCTTTTCGGTGTTTTTTACATTCTCGACTGAATTCTCTAAGCCACTTAAGGAAATAGGAGAGCTTCCGGCGTGTCTGCGGATATCTCTCAACTAACATAATTTCGATATTATTCAATCAATATCTGCTATAACTTTTTGGAAACAATAATCCAATCATTTTCACGTGGCTTTTTTTAGCATCCCATTGGAAAATAGTTGATCGTGAATGAACGCTTTGAAATTCAATGCACAGTTCATCACATATCTGCAGCTAAAAGATATTACAGGCGTAACGAGCACATTTTATAATCGAACTCCGAGACAATAAACGTGTTCGTTTGTCATGCAAACTCAAATGCATCGGGCAGTGAAAATGAATATAAATACGTCCGAGTCTCTCGAATGTCAGTGTATTATCGAACAGCAGAAACATGATAAAGACCATACTCGCGAGTGTAATATTGTGCATGTAAAGAGCGTCACATCATATGCGCATTGGTAGCTATACAGACTGCAGGAGCGAACGCGGTGCATGGGCGCGTCAGTTTATTCAAACAGCCTCGGCACAGTCGCGTGAGTTTCCGTAATTCGATACCCTTACATCACCCATCGTTCTTTCGCGAGAGATCTGCCTCGTGCTGACGCTGCTGCTGCAGTGTCGACGACGAGGACCCAAAATCGGCACGCGATGATATTATCTTTTTTTTTAAATTTTTTCTTTTTCAAACTGAAAAGAATCGTCGATACACTCTTCTGCTTTCTCTCTCATGTAATGTTGCGTATGAGATACACGTATACAGGTACGAACGGGTATGTATCGTAAGCACGTTAGTACGCAAGAGACAGGCATTAGGGTCTTTTTTCCTCTCTTTCCGTCCGTGGCTCGCTTTTGTCGAGGACGAGTGAAAAAAAGTCGAGTATACTTATTGTAATATTGCTTGCGGTCCTGCACGACGAACGCATGATACACGTGCAATTATCAAGTATTATGTTCATTTCGTCACTGCACGCGTGAGAATCTTCGCGAACAGGATATTCGGTGACCGATGCGTGTGCGAAAGGGCGTCAATAGATCTCGCTCGTGCTTGCTTTCAATAAAACTTGCATCGCGGTCGAGCTAGAGATTCGTAGAAACCACAGCGCTGGGTTTTTCGCGTGCATGACTCAAGAGAGCACGAAAATCGGCGCGCAAAGCGAAACTAAATTACAATAATGAGCAGGCGCGCGGTAATAAGCGAAATGAAATTAAAAAAAAAAAGGACACGGAGATGCGTTATGAATATGGTAAGATGAAAGCTTTATACATTGAAAATTTCAATGGCATGCACGCACTTAAATTCGAGCAGCTCGGCGTATCTTAATGTCTTTCCGCTTTGCCTTATAGAGAAAGAGAGAGGTATGAATACATACTGCATAAATGCATATATAGGAACCATAAATTATTTTGGGAAAAATTATACATCTTTCCTCGGCGTCACAGATACGTCAATACGGCAATTTATTTTCCGTATTTTTTTTTCTCGGAGAAAAAAAGCAAAAACAGCAACAGTAGCAGCACGTCAAGTACGAACATAGCGAACAACTCACTCAAGCTCGAGTTCACTGAGCTCCAATCCATGCATACATACATGCATACGTATATAGTACGGGGACATTATACGAACTCGAATACACATATACAGAAGTCGAAGCATGACAAATTTCGCCGCCGAAGGTATATAACGTGGAGCAAAAGTGGAAAAAAAGAGAAAAAGTGCCGTCGAAAAAACACGAAAATTTGTGCAAGCCCATTTTTTATGCACGCATCACGCGAATCGGCAACGGTATATACATGCGGCGAGCTACTGCAAAAGAGAGAGAGAGAGCAGCTCATCACGCGAGAAAACGCGAGGAAAAAATACTGCAGCAAGAGAAAGCATGAAAATTATTCAATCAGTACGGGGTAGTAAGAGCATCAAGTAATGGACCACACGCGCTGAGTTTTGCATCGAACGCGCGCACTTTGAACCCTCGGGCGCGTCCACCGTAATATTACCGCAATCCCGTTATCATTCCTTCGCTGCACGAGTGTATACTGTATAGCCTTTGCGTTGCGCTGCACGCGGTAGAGTCGAGCGTTTACAAGTCAGACAACTATATACATGTATATGTACTTTTGAATGCATGGTCAAAACAGAACGTGTGCTATATGTGACGACGAAAACCTTTGACCCTGTTTTTCTGCTTGGCTCGTTACAGAGGCGAAACTAAAACACAAGACGCTGGTAGTCAAGCTGGTCTTCGTCTTCTCCAAGCTCCAACTCTTCATACTCAAGGGCCTCCTATTAACGGAATGGATTCCTTGCCGTCCACCAGTCACGCCGCGCCTTCACATCTACCGTAAGTACACTCACGCCAAGCGAATCGATCTTTAACGGACACGCTATCTGCGATTTTCGACTTTCTGCTCCTGCCACGTCGACTATAATATCGCTCTGTTTGTTTTGCCTCGACATTTATGTAGCATCAAATAAAGCCAACATTGCATTGAATTTTACTTACTGGACATAGGACGTGCGCGGCTTCAATCGTACCTCTTATTGACACCTACTTTTAAAGTTCAAGTTTCGAAAACAGAATCGCAAAGCTGCCAATTATCGAGTCACTAATAGTTTTTGATGTGCGCCGACAGTGTCCATGATTTCATTTAACATTTTTAACTCAACATTCGTCTTAAAAATCAACCCGTTGATTCATTAATAATGCAAATAATAAGGTGTTATAGCAGCATCGAAGAAAATACCAAGAAACAAATCCGGTATAAATTTGCTCACACTTGATCGTGCTAATAAAAGTACTCTCATTTATTATTCGACGGAAGTCTTGCCCTCGACGAGGCATACACGGTCATATTCGCATAAAGCCTTCACTCGGATGATTTAGTGCCGCAACGAAACAAACATTAAAGTCCTTTTAGCGAATCAAGACGAACTCGATGCGTGGTCGCGTATACTAGCTCGAGAAGTGACCACCGTCGTCATCGCGATAATCAACATCAATGAGCCGGTCGCATTTAATCCCCTCGTTGACAAAGAGCAGAAGGTATAGGATATACGCGTAAACACTCGTGGAGCAGCTCGTGCACACACGTTTCTACAGTATATATTGCGTATCTCTCGAGTCCATCTGTTTGTTTGTCCTTGCAGTTGCGTACAACGTACTGATGCTGCTGGAGATGACGATGCTATGCTACGCAGCCTCCTGCATATACACCGAGAGTCTGGCGGACAATGCAGATGTAGAAGGCCGAGATCCACCAGAAGCAGCAGAATCCAACGGGCTGCCGCCACCGCCGCAGCAGCAAAGCAATGGACACTGCGCAACGCTGGATGCAGCAGCACCAGAATCCAACGGGTTGCCGCCGCAGCAGCAGCAAAGCAATGGACACTGCACAACAGCGGATACAGCGGCACAGGCGACGCTGTCGTCAAAACCACTACCCTAAGCGAGCGTGGCAGATCAAAGGATGCGCGCGAGCCGAGCTTAAGTGATATGGATACTCCGTATCTCTCCTGTCTGCGCGCGTGTATGTGTGCCGTTGCTGCCGTCGCCGATGCCGCTGCAGTGCGGGCGCGCTTTGTACAATAAAAAGAATGGATTTTCGGCTGCTTCGACGGTGGCGGCGGCGGCGGCATCGCGTCTATCGACTGTCGTGCCCAGGAGCTTTCTCGGTGGGCGGGATTTAGCGCTTGTCTGCCGGCTACCTGCTCCTCTTGGATACGCATCGGCAAATAAGTAGACGCGAACGGGGCCAATGCAAGAATTATTTATTGCAGCCTAATGCTGACGCGTGCCTGCGGAGCTGAATTTTTCTCTCGGCGAATGTGCACATTTTTGCGACTCTAGTAAATTATATGTACGTCCATTCAGATTTTAAGCAGGCTAAATGTCAAGTTATTTCTTCAACTTTTTTTCATCGAAAAATTCGAAAATGTACAATTGAAAAGTTTTACCGTTGTATTATATTGTATTCGATGTGTGCAAATGCCACGTCAATGTATATGTAAACTTATTGACTTGACGCTGATGAATAACAGTTAGCTGTATTCGAATGTTACATGAGTACAAAGCAATATTTTCTTAACCCTCTTTCTCAATTCAGAAGTATGCGTGATATTTTGCATGCACGGTGTAGTTAGCCAATTGTTTTCTGTTATTTTTACTTTGGTGCCTTGTTCATTTGGTGTATAAATATGTAATTGTTGAAAGTTTTTGTATGGTTTTGTATGAAATAAAAAAGCACGCGTTAAAAAATGCAGCTATCCAATTGTCGATGTAGTTTTCATTGTACATATCTGTAAATAAAGCACGTATTTAATTGAAAATACCGTGAACAATGAAATGACGTTTTTATAATTATTTAATCACCCCTGACAATGTGCCAAACTAACTCTGATACTGAAATTATTTTTGTTTATCAAGAATAACGAGACCAATGACGATTATTATATCCCATTCGAGGTCCGGGCCCCGCTCTTTTCGTTTATCTTTTAGCCTCTCGACGAACCTCGTTGAAAATATATGCAATCCATTCTCTTTCTCTCACTTACTCCCTATTTAACTCGACACTCTTCATACGTTTCAAAGAATCAAAGTGTTCACTGGCACTGTGTTCTCGTCTCAGCGGATGACTTAGACTTTATCAAAACATCGAGTATGTCCTGACACAACTACGAACTGTTCGCAATAATTCTCAATCGCGAGACGTGTTGACTTTATTATAAACTGTTCTTATACTCCTATGGAATGGAAAAAAAAAATTAGCTCTCTAAATCATTCTTGCGAAGCTTCGTAAGAGTATAGCTCGGAAAAATCATTCGAATACCTTCATGCTCGAGTCTGGAGCACGAAAAAAATACTTCCAAAATCACAACGTCTTTATACAAGGGAAAAAAAGGATATATCTATAGGTGGACCTGTATGCATAGAAACATGCCTATATATAAAAAAAGAGGAAGCCAAAGAGAGAAAGAATGAAACAAAGCCTTCAGTCGGAAGGCATAAGCAGAAAAGAAGGGAGAGAGAACGAGAAAGAACGAGAGATAAAGACCCTTGAGGAGAGTTTTGTTATTTGTTTCTCTCTGGCCGTCGGTGTCAGTCCAGAGGCGAGAATATTTACTTTTGCGCCTGCATGGAACAGGTCGAAAGGAATCTCAAGTTCTCTTGATACTCGGGACCATATGCTATGCAGTGCGAGCTCGCGCATTTTTATTGACTCCTTTTTTTTCTCGTTTCTTTAGTTTAACTCGCAACTGCATAAACAGACAGACTCGACATTGAATGCATGACTTGCACAACTCATCGTCCGTAAGTACGATAAATTAATTTTTTAATGGGCTCACGCCACGATGAAATCTGTTTCGACCTTTTGCCTATTCAATCGCATTAAAAGCAATAGTTTTTAAGGTGCAAACGAGTACGATCTAGACGCTCGGACGAGTAAATATATGAGGCGAAAGTCGCTTGGCACGTGTTTTCTTGCAAAACGGGGGTGCTAGCTCTCAGGCGCGGCGAGCTAAAAAAGCAAAGCGACGGCGGATACCATCGACACTGAATTCTCGATGTCTCGGCAGCTTGTATTATATGGTCTCGGATTATCTGGCTAAATGCTCGGATACAAGCGCCTCGCTCTCGAGGAAAAAGAGATAGGGAGAGAAAGAGAGCTATATTGAGTTACGCTTTCGCGCCTACATACCTAGCAATGCTACATACATTTACGCATGGCTTTTTGATTTTGAGGCTTTTCCTTGAAAATAACTGCAAACGATCGACACCTTCACGCCGCATTAGCTGCGCTACCGTTACGAAATTTCGCACAGCTCACGCGCCTGCGTATTACTTCATCCTGATATCGATATCTCGAAATAGGATACTATTACGATTTATACATGTGCTCGCAGCCGCCAAGTGACTTTCCTTGAAAAATACGTTCCAAGCTCAGAAAAAGAGCTGGAATATATCCGATGGATCCTCTATTGCGCCGAGTTTTCAGCTTTAAAATTGCTAGACTAGTGTATCAGAGTCAGCCAGGTATGTCATGATGTTATTAAAAATCTGAAGAAATCAATCAAGCGAGTTTACTTTTGCGATTAAGCGCAAAACTGCTGCCAAGATCTCTGCGAAATCTCAAGCCGAAGCTAGAATACCCACGATTCTAATCCTACATCTCTCCCTTATTATATCCAACTCGATACCTTTGGGCCTCGGAGCAGAGCTTAAGTCAAACCCCGAAACTCGGCTGCGCCATTGAATATTTATTTTAACAATCCGCAGTGTGAAACGTAAAAGGATCTCAAACGCGATATGATCTACGCAGCTCGTGCTTCGATCTATAAAAACGACGAAATGAACGTAGGACTGTGTAAGTAAAAAAATCAACACAAGCCAGCATTATTACCGCAGATAACTTGGAAGAAAAGCACCAGTCCCAGACGCTGTAGGCTTTTATGGGTATCATTCATCCGCACGAACAACCGACAAGCAGCTTAGGATGGGATCTTTCAACCACGCGTCGACTTATAACCGGCTATTGTTGTTCGGGTCAAATTTATTTTACGGATGAAAGGTGTTCTTGAAAAAGTAACTAATGCTATGATTTTGATACCTTGTACACTTGGATGCAATCATTGTAATTTGACGGGTGTGAGCTGTGTCGATCTTTCAAATTATTGGTACAGAGGATAAAGCAGAAGAAAAGAAGATGGGAGAATAGAATTTTAACCGTTTTATGATCGTGTTAACATAAGTATAATGCATTAAAAATCAATAAAACATTTTAATAATTCCAGAATTTGTAAATATTATTTTAAAAATAAGCATTAAATGTCAAAGAAATATTTGAATTCTTTGAATGGTAGAATTTTCAGAATGTAATTAAAGCTGAAAAAATAATTACGTGATTCCCACATAAATGTAATCAGAGAAAAGTTGATGTCGGAAAAGCTAGTACAATGAATTTGTAAATATCATTTAGGAATGCTTCTAACTCTAATGAATCATATTCAATGCGCCTTGGACAATAGCATAGTTTCTCAAAAATCATTATAAAAGATGACATGAGTCGTCGGTGTGGCAACAAAATGATAAAAATTGTGTAAAATATTAATAATAACTGATGACACTTGAAAATGTTCTAGAAGAAGCGAAAATTTCATCAAGAGTTGGTTATTCTAAGTACAGAGCACTTTAGCACCAACGACAGGTCAATAGGTTTAATGAAGGCAATTTGAATGAGCATGAAGGATAGTAGTTTTTCAAGTATATTGTTTGCACACTCGTGCCGTGAATATGGTTTAGGCGAAATCTTGTGCAACATTCATAGTATCCTGTCGGGCCGACAAAGTGGAAGAAACGTAGAATCACGCGCTCATCTTCCTTAAAGACTCTTGACACGTCAATTTTTTATTATTCTTTCAAGTCTCGTGGAAGCTGGGCTAGCTCTTTTATCTGTGGCCTTTAAAATTAGCCGTGCCATAAAGTGTAATTACTCATTTCTTTCTCCGGGCCAGATGTGCGCGTCGTGAATTTCGAATTTAACGCTCTCGTCGGCCGCACGAGAGCTAGAAAACGAATCAGACGTTGATGCGGTGTACACACAATTCGCAGCGAGAATGGGGGAGCAAAAATTATCAGATAAGAGATGCACTACGTGACGCGGCGGTGGTGTGCGCGCACACACAGATATACAGTATAAAAATATGTGGGACAAAACGGAATTTTTCCAGGAAGCGTTCTCGAGCGACATTCGTATTCGTCCGATGATGCAGCTTGTTCGCCCGGAGCTATACAACGCGGCGCGCACGACGCACGATCATCCCTCGTCCTGAATTATTTTCCCCTCCGCGCGAGGAATTTGAATTTATGAATTTTTTAGCAGCAGCGACATCGGCTTCGTACGTTCGCTGCTGCTGGGATAAAAATTATTTATCGCGCATTCGACTCGTGCTCGGGCGCATTTTTCTCTTTTGCTTCGCGGCAAATTCGAGCAGCAGCGCTTGCAACGATCGCCGCGTATGGTAATGACGCTCGTGATCGCACTGCCCAAGTTTTTCGACGGCGCACGATAATAATGCGCGCGCTGCGCCCACGGTGAGAATAATTAAAATTCGCCGCGTCGCAATTTCGACTACTATGCGCGCGGACGTACATGTATACTAATTAGATTATAAGAACGAGCTCGGGCGCAAAGATTATTTTCCTCAAATTTGCCTTGGCATTTTGCAAATGTGCCATCATTTTTAACAAGATGGTTTATGGGCCAATATGATGAGCGAAGGAACGAGATACGCAGAGAGAGGCGAGCATCATTTTTTCCGTATGTCCTGACAGAGTAATTTGTCTGGCTGCAGCCTTGTGATATACACAGAGCTGAGCGAGGGAGAGATTTTTGATGATGAACGCGAATCGACGCGAAAGGGAAAAAAATGATAATTTGATGACGACGATGTGCGCGAAGATATTTTTTTCGAGCAATGTACAGGTTGTAGCATTAATTAAAAGCCCATACATCGAAGGCGAATTTTCATTACTTTTTTAAACTCCGGTGGCTTATCTACGAGCACGATCTCCGCCACGGACTCGGCGAGTCGAGCCTTTGATGAAAATTTCCATAATGTAGTACTAATATGTTATATCCTTCAAAACTGATAGGACCCATTATATTCTATAGCTTTCAATGGATGTGTAAAGGCTGCATCTCGACGACGACACCGACGATTATTACTACTACTGCAGCTAACTATGCATACGCGAAAAGCATACGCAAGAGAAAAATCAAACATCTGCGCACGCGTTTCATCCGTTATGTTACATGTGCAAGCCAGAGCATGCATAGAAACGCACGTCTATTCATCCTCGACAAATACAACGACGCTCGCTCGGCATGGCTCGCGCGCGCAGCGATGATTAAAATCTACCGCTATATATCTGGATGTATCTCATCGCGTCTAATGTTTCAGGTGGAAGGATTTTTATACGCCACGGCCCTAAGTATACATATACACACGGCGAGGATCGGCTCTGCCGATCTCGAATCGCAACGCTGCTCTGATCGTCGCACCAAAAGTCCGTGCGCGGACGCAGCCATACATAGCGCATACGTATAGCTCGTATTCAGTGGTTATATCGGCCTCGTCGATCTGCCTTTTTGTTTTCAACTTTTCTAGCTACATTATAATCTAGCTTTCTTTTTTGCCGCATTCGTTTTTGGCCAGCAACTTTTTTAATCGCCGCGAGAGACTT